AGATGCATAACCTTGCCTAACTGGACACATTCCACATGTTAAGCTAGCTGAGAGAATTATGCATATTCAAATCATTACTAGCTCTAATCTCCAGTTAAAGCTTTTCTTTTTTTTTCTTTCTTTTTTTTTTTTTTTTTTTTTTTTGGTTTTTTTTTTTTTTTTTTGGTTTTTCGAGACAGGATTTCTCTGTGTAGCTTTGCGCCTTTCCTGGAACTCGCTTTGGAGACCAGGCTGGCCTCGAACTCACAGAGATCCGCCTGGCTCTGCCTCCCGAGTGCTGGGATTAAAGGCGTGCGCCACCACCGCCCGGCAGCTTTTCTTAAATAAAATGAAAACAATCCTATTTCACAATGGAAATATGCTCATTATCTTGTCTAAATGTCTCCATGTAGCATTTGAAGTGAGATGTTTCTTTCAGAATATATTCTGAAGTGACCTGGTGTATGCTGACCACCTGAAATCCAAAACAATACCTTTGATTTGTCTATTTTTAACCACAGACCTCTATAAAAGTGAAGGAAGTGGGACACTACAGGAATACACCAATGCAACTGAGAGGATGTCCCCTTAGCTGTTCTGTTTCATTTGGGGGCATCAGCTCCTGCCTGATTACTGCTCCTGTGAAAAAGACATTTTCTTAATGACCCCTAGAGGAAGACAATGATCTGATAAACGAGAAATGTGACACATAAAGTTGTCCCACACCTGTGTATATAATGTCATCTGGGCCCATACATTTTTTTAAAGCAGAAATAGCATCATTTCTCTCTACTCCAATGATTCCCCTAACCCTGGAGGCCAATATGGAGAATGGCCATCTCCCTGTTAGATCCACAATGAACTAAAACTTCCAGTGCTCCAAAAGCCCTTTCTTTCCACCTTAAAAAGTGGCCTGAATGTCTGTTAATGGCTTTCCTTTGTTAACTCCTGCCTGAGAATTTACATGGAAGCATGTTTACAAGTCACCCTGAGGGAAGAAATGCTCGCCATCGGTGTGACAGACTGAGGACAGGTGTCAGGGTTTCCTGTTGGCTCCCTTGTCACATTTCTAAATTACTGTCGAGACCACAGGGTAGGCCCAGCTTATGAAAATTTTTTTGTCTTCTTTCAGCTTCACAGATCATCCACAATCACACACGGGGCTAAAAATGAAAGACAAAGTTGTGTAAACCTATTTCCACTGTTGCTCAAAGCTGAAGCAAATGACACAATACTCAATACTCAGAGCTAGGGATGAGTCTGTGTGTTGAGGAGCAGTGACGGCCACAGCATTGGCTTAGCATTTTAGTCCAAACAGACCATTCCAGATGCTGGAATTCTGCCAATGGTGATTGTGCTCAGACTTGAAGACAAGAATTCATCATACTTGGTCATCCTTGAGAAGCTTTGGTGTAGAGATGTCATTCAGTGCTTGGACACTGCTGTCCACTTTGTGTCTCATTTAAAACCTGTCCTTAAAAGACCAGAGAGAAGGGAGTAGAGAAAAACAGCTTAGGGTGGTGAGCGCAGTGCTCCTGAGACTTCAGTGTAGTGACAGATCACCCAGGGTAGAGCTGCAGTGTGGGTCTGGTCGGGGAATGGGGTCTCAGGTTCCCCACAACCATGAAACACCAGGTGCCTGCTCTTAGGAAAACCCGAGTCAGCATCTTCTCCGAGGCACCACTGAACTCTGTAGGCCTGAGACAACACCTATGCTGGTTCTTTTTCTTTACAGGGGTCTTACCTGCTACCTTCTCTCTTTTTAAAATACATGTGTTTATTTATTTTTACATATGTGTGTGCGTGTGTGCATCTGTCTGTCTGTGTCGGTCTCTCTGTCTGTCTATAGGCAGGTGTCCTCAGAAGCCAGAGGTATTAGATTTCCTGGAGCTGGAGACAGGCAGCTCTGAGCCACCTGGACGGAGTTCTGGGAACCAAATTCAAGTCTTCTGTAAGAGCAGTATGAGCTCTTAACCACTGAGTTCCCTCTCCTGTCTCTATTTAATTTTTTTGACAAGGTCTTACTCACTGTATAGCCCTGGCTGTTCTAGAACTTGCTATGTAGACCAGGCTGACAATGAACTCACATTTATCTCCAAAATGATTAAAGGAGTGTAGCACCATACCATCTCCTTCTGGAAGGCATCTCAGTAGAAACAATGCAGGTCATCTGCACAGTGCAGTGGCTCTGGAACCACAGATCCAGGCTAGAAGCCCAGCTAGATGACTTAACCTGTAATCTCAGGTCTTTGGGGATCTCATGAACTTCTTTCAGCTTCCTTTCCCCCTTTGTGAAGTGGTTGTTCTTACTCCCTGGGTTGTTACAAGAAACAACATAGTCCCTGAGAACAACGCAGCGGGCTGATCTCTAGCCCAGATGAATAAACAGCCTAGAATAGGACAATTCTATCTACAGGAAATAAGAAAGGAGGTGGGGAGTTACATGCTTGAATATTTCTTGTTTTTCTCAATACTATGATTCTGGCTTTTTCTTGGATCTATAGCTTTGGGTTATATAGAGCTCTATATACATTAAGCCAAGCATCTCTTCTATTTCCAGTACTTCCAAATTCTAAAAGCTACTCTTCAATTAAGCATTTAGTAGTGTCAGAATGCAGAAAGAACGCAGGTTTCTTGTTTTGTTTGGTTTTAATGTTTCACACTCTATGTACGGGTAAGCTGGCTCTAGAGTTGGCCTGCTACACCTGACTCTGGTATTTCCAAAAACAAATCCTAGTTCTGAAGTTGCTCCTTCTAATCTCTCTTTTCTAATTTGACACAAGGCTTGATGTTGCTTGCCCCACACATGACACACAGGTTCCCCTCTGCACACATCTGCTTGGGAATCCAACTTCCTCTAGGGGAATCCAGAGGTAATTCTGAATTAACAAGAGGAATAAACAAGAAAACTACTAATTTAACTCTTCCCAAATCTTCCCACTTAAGTAGATAGAGACAAACACATAAAACCTAGGGTTGTTAAAAAAAAAAAAAGTAAGGAGGAAGAGTTACTGACTTGACTAAATAAAAAGAACAAAGGAAAGAGAAGAAAACTATGAAACACACACTTTCTCCTCCAATTCCCTCTGACAGTTCTCCAGCCAAATTGTAGACCTCTTGTGGACCACGCCTAGACCCTTCTTAGATACTGTAATGCAACGTCCTTAGTCATCAGAGAAATGCAAATCAAAATGACTCTGAGATTCCATCTTACACCTGTCAGAATGGCTAAGATAAAAAACACAAGTGTCAGCTCATGCTGGAGAGGAGGTGGAGAAAGGGGAACACTCCTCCGTCGCTGTTCAGAGTGCAAACTTGTACAGCCATTTTGGAAATCAATATGGTGATTTCTCAGAAAACTGGGAATCAATCTACCACAAGACCCAGCTGTAACACTCTTGGGCATATACCCAAAGGATGCTCAATCATACTACAAGGACACTTGCTCAACTATGTCCATAGCAGCTTTATTTGTAACATCCAGAACCTAAAACAACCTAGATGTCCCTCAACCAAGGAACGGATAAAGAAAATGTGGTACATTTACACAATGGAGTATTTATTAGTCAGCTATTAAAAACAATGACATCATGAAATTTGAAGGCAACTAGAAAAGAACATCCTGAGTAAGGTAACCCAGACCCAGAAAGATAAACATGGTATGTACTCACTCATAAATGAATATTAGCTGTAAAGTAAAGGATTACCATGCTACAATCCACAGCCCCAGAGAGACTAGGTAAAAAAAGGGGGGGGGGTTCATGGTGGGCAGGACACCCAGATCTCCCTGGGAAATAGAAGAAATTTCATGAGTGGACTGAGGGTAGGTGGGGAAAGGACTGTGAGCGATAACATTGGGGTGGGGGGATTGGAGGGAGAAAGTACTGAATAATATTACTGGGAAGGGAAGGCATTTCGGGATCAGGTACAATCCTGGCACACGGGAATCTCCTAGGTATCCACAAGCATGACCCCAGTTGAGACTCCTAGCAACCGCCATCTCCTATGACCAGGGAAGGCTTTTAGTGGAGGGATTAGGATGCCAACCCAGCCACATAACCTTTCAACCTACAGTCTGTCCTCCCCATGGGATGTGCTGGGGTAAGGGTGGCCTAGATATTGAGGGAGTAGCCAACCAATGCCTAAAATCTATGCCAGGAGAGTAAGCCCACCCCTGACACTGCCTGGAGTACCAGGACCTACAGGCTAGATGACCCAGAGACCTAAGATAGAACCAAACACAATTGGAGAGAAAAATATCAATGGAATGATGCTTAATGATATTTTGCCATACTCATAGATTGGTTCCTAGCCCAATTGTCATCAGAGAGGCTTCATCTAGAAACTGATGGAAACAGATGCATACACACAGTCAAACATTAAACAGAGCTTGGGGAATCCTTCCTGTGAACAGAGAGAGGAGGATTATATGAGCTGGAGGAGTCAAGGACGTCACAAGAAAACCCACAGAATCAACTAACCTGGGCTCATAGAAGCTCCTAGAGACTAAACCAACAACCAGGGAGCCTGTACTGGAATGACCTAGGCATTCTACATATATATTACAGTTGTGTAGCTTGGTCTTCTTATGGGACTCCTAACAGTGGGAGCAGGGGCTGTCTCTGACTCTTTTGCTGACCTTTGGGACCCTACTCCTCATACTGGGTCACCTTGCCCAGCCTTAATACATGGGGAGGTGCTTAGTCTTACTGCAACTTGATATGCTATGGTGTGTTGATACTCATGGGAGACCTGCCCTTTCCTGAACAGAAATGGAAAAGGAGTGGATTGGGGGGGTGGGGACAGAGCAGGAGTTGGGGGAAAGGACTGGGAGGAGAGGATGGAGGGGAAACTGAAGCCAGGATGCAAAACAGATAAATCAATTAATTTTTAAAAAGAAAAGAAAGTGTGTATTATTTACTGTCATGCGATATTAGACAATAATTAAGAATTGCTATTGATTTTTATTGACAATTATAATGGCATTATTGTCACATGCCTTATGGTTTTTATAGTTTTATTGCAGGATCTGCTTTATTACTACAATATTTACACTGAGAATATAGTGGTGTTAGTAGCTTTCTTCACAGTTTAAAAGAAGTCAGACTTTTCACTCCTGTTCTAAATAGCTGAGTTGGTAGCAATCACGTCTCTATTTCATAAGAGATGGGTTCTGTTCTATCACTCTTTAGAACAGCCACCGGGAAGATTATTCCACCACCTTACTGAGACTGATTATGCTGGCATCTGCAATGGTAACTAAATAAATGAGATTTCTATCAAACATATGTTTGTACTTAATGCATTCATTTGCTTGACCCTTGTTCTGATATTCTACAATATGGTGGATCAGCTGGTCATTCTCCTCCAGGATAATTGTCATTGACCCTGGCCTTGCCTCAAAGCAAGTTGGGAGTGAAGATCACTGACATGATGCAGATCAACTCTGAACCCAGAGCCCAGAAGAGCCAGGCCATTCATGACAATGACCCTTATTGATGTGACATCAATGTTCTGGAGGTTCCAATGTAGCAGGGAGGGCCTATCAACCACAGTGGTACCGACTCATGACAGGAATCAGTGATGGCTCAAGTTCTTGCCCCTGACATCGACTTCTGCCCAGGACCTGCATCTCCCTAGCTTCCTATCTCTAAGACTAAAGCAGAGGGGGACTTGCTTCCCTTGAGCTCATTCCATCTCAGATGGAAGCAAGCAGATGAATTACTATTGGATCTTACTAGATTGAGCCACATAATACTGCCTGATTTGTCGCTTTTAGAAATTTCATGATTTGACATTCTGTCCTATTTAGAAAGTTTCACTTTCGCAAAAACAACAACAACAACAAAAAAAACCCTAAGCCTTTCCATGATTTTTGTAATATTAACCAGAACAAATTATCTCGAATTTATTTACTCTGATGGTACATGCTTTTATATAAAACATAATGAGTAGAATTTTTTACTTTCTAAAAATAAGATTCATTTAACAACATTCCTTAGAAAATATCCCTTCTCAAGCAGCAACTGTCAATTAATACAAGCATGGTCCCTTTTTTAGGATCAGGAGTAAGAAAAATACAAAAAGCAAGGAAACATCATCTCTAACCCCCAAGGACTAATCAATAAGGCTGGAGAAAAAAAGGAGAGAAAAAATGCAAGAAGGTGAACAATGAAGTAATAATATGAGAAGTGTCACAAGACAGACCGTCATCATTTGCCAAATGAGTGGAATAGAAAACAGGAGCAGTGAGTCGAGAGGCAGGAGCAGTCAATCACCTAGAATCTGATTTGAGCCACTTTCCATCTAATTTAGCTTATCAGTCCCAGAGCCCGCCCACCTCCTTACTGCAGGAGGTTATTCCAGAAGACGAAAGTCGCCTCTCTGCCTACTCAGAACTCCTGGACAGCGCATGCAGAGAGGTATGCCGGAGGCCTCTAAGATCCATCCTCTGCCTACTCAGAACTCCTGGACAGCGCATGCAGAGAAGTGTGCAGGAGACCTCTAAGCTCCATCCTCTGCCTACTCAGAACTCCTGGACAGCGCATGCAGAGAGGTATGCCGGAGGCCTCTAAGATCCATCTAGGAAAAGGCGAATGGAGACAGTCTGATGGTCTGGACACTTCGCTCTCCTTTGTTTCACTATATAGCTTAGGGTGTTGTGGAACCCGTGATTCTCCAGCCTCAGAGACTACAGCTGTAGAATTTACATGCCTGTACACACACACACACACACACACACACACACACACACACACACACACACACACACACTTTTTCTCTCCTCTGGAGGAAGTTTACATACTTCCAAGTGTTCCGCAAGTCCCAGTGGCCTCAGCTTCCTTAATGCTCCTAGCACTAAATCCCTGCTGGGGTGTTGCCCACAGAAATGCAGGCTGTCCTCCACAGCACTCTTTTTCTCTGTGATTCGAGCCTGACAAAGTTTGCTTACACATGAGGAAGCATCTTTTGTTTGTCCTTTTCTCTTTTTACCACATCTAATCCATGATTGGGTATTTCATTTTACCCCCAGCATATTCCTCAAGACTTCCCTTTACCAACACAGCAGACATCCTGTCTATTAACTACTAACCACTATCAGTACTTAATCAGCAGAGCATCCTGATGTCTGGCCTCTACTCACACCCTTCCAATCCATTCTGAACACAACATCAAGAGACACCCTGTAGAACCGTTAAATGAACCATACTTTAATGAAGTTCAAATCGTGTAGTGACTTATCATTTTAAGAATAAAGTCTCTTTGTGCTGGCATTCAGAATCTTCTGTAGCCCGACCCAGCATTTCCTCTATGGGAGGCCATCCAGCAGCACTACATACGAGGTGAATCTCAAGTCCATTACTAACCATGAAGACGATGAGCCAGAACTTCATGTTCTTTGTTGGTCCTGTGAGCTGTGAACTTTGGACCAAGTACTTGACTTCTCAGGACTTCAGTTTTTTCACATGCAAACCTACAAGTCTTTCTATTTTAAAGATTTATTTATTTTTATTCATGTGTATGAGTGTTTTATTTCCATGTATGTATGTGCACCACATGAACGGCAGTCAGTACGCATGGAGGTCAGAAGAGGCCATCAGTTTGAGCCACCATGAAGGTTCTGTGAACTGAACCCAGATCCTCTGTAAGAGTGGTACATGCTTTAACCTCTGAGCCATCGCTCCAGCCCCAGAGCTACATTTCTTAATGATCTCTCAAAGGAAGAAACCAAGGTACAACTTACGAAGAGCAAAGAACGGTGCTACTCTACAGTAAGCACTCCACAAAACCATCACTCCAACCAAACCTATTGCCATCTCCTCAGACATATCTACCACTCTCAGGACCTATAGCATGTTCTCATTGCTGCTAATGCCCTTGTTCCTCACATCCAGCTCTGTGTGTGGTCACCTACTGTCCTAATTAGTTTTTATTCACAACTTGACACATTGCAGAAACACCTGGGAAGAAGGAACTTAATTGAAGAACTGCCTTGACCAGACTGGCCGGTGGCCATGCCATTGAGGGACTGTTTCTATTGGTGACTGACTGTGGGCAGTGCTATTCTTAGGCATGAGGTACTGGGCTTAGAAAGCTAGCTAAGCATGAGCCAGGGGTCAAGCCGGTAAGTAGTATTCTTCTGAGGTTTCTGCTTGAGTTCCTGCCCAGACTTCCCTTAATGATGGATTGTGGCCCAGAAGTATAAGCCAAATAAAACTTTCTCTCCTAAGTTGTGTTTGGTTATGATGTTCACATCAACAGAAAAGTAAAATAGAACACCACCACCCCGTGTGTGTGTGTGTGTGTGTGTGTGTGTGTGTGTGTGTGTGTGTGTGTGTATACATACCACAGGTACACACAGGCCAGGGAACCCCAAAGATTCTCCTATACTTCCTTCCTAGCTTTTCATGTGGGTACTTGGATCAAAGGTCCCCATGCTTGCCTGACAAGCACTTTACCAAATGAACCATTGTATTAGGGTTCCTATTGCTGTGATTAAACACCATGACCAAAAGCAACTTGGGGAGGAAAGGCTTTGTTTTTCTTACCCTTCCATATCACAGTTCATCATCGAAGGCAGTCAGGGTGGGAACCAGCAGAGCCTGGGGATGGGCGCAGGTGCAGGGGCCAAGGAGGAGCGGCTCTCCTCACAGCTTGCTAAGACTGTTTTCTTCTTATAGCACCCAAGACCACCAGCCCAAGATTGGCACCATCCACATCTCCCACATCAATCACTAATTAAGAAAATACCCTACGGGCCTGCTTACAGACTGATCTGATGGCAGCATTCTCTCAGTTAGGTGCCGTCCCCTCAGACAACTCTAGCTTGTATCAGGTTGACATAAAATGAGCCAACACAGCCATACACTTATGTGTATCTTCAATGACTCCTTTCCTCCAGGGAGATGCTTAACAGGACAAAACTGGAATACTCTTTTTGCTTTGATCCAAATAATCTTTTCCTTTTGGGGGCATGTATGTTCAAATGATAGCTTAGCCCAGATTCTACAGAAAGCCAAGAAATGAATCTTCTAGCTTCTAAAATGTGCTATTTGAGGAAGTCAAGAAGAGAAAAGAAAGAAATAAGACAGGAGTAGAGGAAAAGCAGATACTGGATGCATTTCTGCACTAGCTGCCAAATGCTTTCAAGCTCATTGATTGCCAGACCTTCTTGCCTTCTCTTCTGAGAAAGGTCATGTAAGTGATAGCATTTTTTGAACAGCATGTCCCGAGAAAGAAGGGAAAGTCCATTCTCTAGCCAATGTCCACTTAGGCAGCCACGTGGTTGTACATACACACATACCGCTCAGTGGCATAAGGCAAGGTCAGGGCTGAGGGAGGGAGCTGACAGAGAGCCTTTAACCAGTAGCAACAATAGTATCAGGACTGTCCAAGACTTGGTTCTGTAACCATGGGAACAGCACAAACCAGCCAAGCACACATCAGGAATGGGACTAACTTGAGTGTAGCAAAGATAGATAAGAAAATGAGAAAGTGTCTGAATGGATTGTTCTAGAATGGCAAGTATGAGACATACAGGCTCATCACTCCTGCAACTTGTACTCATGTCAAATATCTTCAAATCTCTAACAGTATTTTGTCTGACTGAACCAAAATGTTGTTTCTAATCTTTCTCAAGGTACAGCTACAGAGGCTCCATATTCAGTAAGATTTGACATATGTCCAGGGCAATAAAAAATAAAAAAATTTGCATTAAAAAATCCTTCCTATAGATTAACTCAACATATCTCTGCAAATTTGCAATATTCACTGAAGGAAGATAATTACCCTCTATTCCATAAACAGACAACTGAAACTGAGAGAATCTCCTGCTTTTAAAGCAAGGAAGGAAACCGGAAAAAAAAAACTTCATGCCTGGGTTTGTGCAAAAATCTAATACGCGAAAGAGCATCTACACACGCTGCAACCGACATGACTCAGAGTCACACAATTTTGCTAATTCGGAAAGATAAACACATTTTTAGTAAATAATTTTTTAATAAGTAAGTTTTTTTTCTTTTTTTAATTTTATTTTATTTTATAATTTAATTTAATTTTACATATCAGCCACGGATTCCCTTGTTCTCCCCTCTCCCGCCAAACCCCCCCACATTCCCCCTAGCCCACCCCCCATTCTCACCTCCTCCAGGGCAAAGACTACCCTGGGGATTGAGTTCAACCTGGTAGATTCAGTCCAGGCAGGTCCAGTCCCCTCCTCCCAGGCTGAGCCAAGTGTCCCTGTATAAGCCCCAGGTTCCAAACAGCCAGCTCATGCACTGAGGATAGGACCCAGTCCCACTGCCTGTGTGCCTCCCAAACAGTTCAAGCTAATCAACTGTCAAACTTATCCAGAGGGCCTGATCCAGTTGGGGGCCCCTCAGCCATTGGTTCATAGTTCATGTGTTTCCATTAGTTTTATTTGTCCCTGTGCTTTTTCCAACCTTGGTCTCAACAATTCTTGTTCATACAAACCCTCCTCTTTCTCGCCAATTGGACTCCTGGAGCTCCACCTGGGGCCTGGCCATGGATCTCTGCATCCACTTCCATCAGTCATTGGATGGGATTTCTAGCACGACAATTAGGGTGTTTGGCCATCCTATCACCAGAGTAGGTCAGTTCGGGCTGTCTCTCGACCATTGCCAGTAGTCTATTGTGGAGGTATCTTTGTGGATTTCTGTGGGCCTCTCTAGCTTTTTAAAGTTTTTTGTCACTTTATTTCTTAAATATACTCTGGAAAACAAAAATGAAACCCTGTAATAAAGTCATAACAGTGATGCAAAGAAAGGTAACAGAAAAAAATGTCTTATAAAAACTCAACCATGGAATGATAGAGACAAAAGTGTGACATCCAGCTAACAGAAACTATTTCCAGTAATGGAAAACGCTGCAGGAAGGTCTTTCCATTTAACCCAGTTCCACAATCTAGATGTCACTTTCCATGCATCTCTTGATACTACATGTTTTCTCATACTATGCGCGCACACACACACACACAGAATGCAAAGCACACCCTTTCTGGATTTGGTATGCATGTTAGCAGAGCAGAGCTCACTGGGCAGTATGCTGATCTGCAGATAAAATATGTTAAAATAACACACAGTGCCAGAGTGGTAGTGGCGCACACCTTTAATCCCAGAACTCAGGAGGCAGAGGTAGGCAGATCTCTGAGTTTGAAGACAGCCTGGTCTACAAAACAAGTTCTAGGACAGCCAGGGCTACACAGAGAAACCCTGTCTGGAAAAACCAAAGTAAATAAACAAACAATTAAATAAAAATGTATACTTCATAAATCAAAGCCTCCATGGGAGACATTTTTGATCTGGAGGAAGAATATTCACTGTGGTGCCGTTAAAAGGTAGTGTGCTAATTTTTGTCATAAGATCTGTTACTCACTATAAAGATACATTAGTTATTCCTCTCAGCCTGCTGAGACCTTTTTGACTATGGGTTGACCTGACAGGGGCGATGGGGAATGAAGGAATGACAGACACACACACAGAAGATGGGATCAGATGGGTCTCATGGTCTGATGGAGATACAACAGCAGCAGTTCAGAAACTGCATTTGTTGTATACATTTGAATTAAGGAGGTGGTTTACTGCATAAAGTTAAGGAGGCATCTTTAGCTAATCTTAGTGGGAGGTCTCTATAGGGGAGCAGCATCAGGCTGTCAACATAGAGCAAGAAGAAGCTGCAGTCAGGACAGGTGGCAGGCTTTGTCATTCTCCTGAGCATGACTAGGGAAGGCTTTGCCATCCCCATGGGTCTGAGGCACTGGGGTCTTAGACATGGCTGTGCTAATGTCAACAATATATGTACATTTAGAGCTTCATCTTCTCCCTATACCAGACCACTGGAAATGCCCCCCCAAATGACTGTGGATACATCTTAGAAATCTAGTAGGTAGCATGTGGAGCTGGATCTGATATTTAGGCATTCATGTGTATCCAATAAGTACACAGAACTGTGTAAAGAGCTGGTCGATACAGAAATGGATATGCTACCACTCCTCCCCTTTAAATTAGTATGGCCCAGACTAAAGATTACCCAACTGCAGGTCATGGAATCAACTTGGGAAACTGTAACCCGAAATACTTAGAAACTAAAGGAGACTTGAATAGCAACACAATACATGTATGTCGTTTCTTAGGCTCCCTGCCTTTCAGGAGAAAAGGAGGACCTCTGGAGTGGCTGTACTGCAGGGAACCTCAGGAATGCCAGGTGCTCTTTTAGGGTATTATTATGATTCTCAATAATACCAACAATTCTTTTAAATAATATTAATTCCTAAAAGAATTGAAGATAATCAGCTGCCTAAATGGAGGTGCATTGTAGG